TTCTCCAACATTCATCAACATTTGACCGACAGTTTTGAGTTACGGCACATATTACAATGTTTTCTGATCTTTTATAATGTGGTTTCCTAATCACAAATATACCTGGAATTGTGTTTTGTTTCTTTCACACGTGTTTAACATACAAAAACTACACATTTAGGCTGAGTTCTTCTCTCAAACAGAAAAACTGTGTTCTTTGTGATGTCATATGGTAATACATGAGGTGTTCCACTGTGTTTTTAAACTCTGTACACCTTCACTAGAAATCATTTGTGTAATTCCAGTCCTGGAATTTCTGGTCTCTATTGAACTAAAGGTAACAGGAGGAGTTAACTTGAAAACTACCGCTTCATGACAAGATGGATTAGAGTTTTTGAGCTTTCAGACAAACTAATAATAATTATTCAAACATGTGTGAATGAAACAAAACACTCAACTCCAGGTCTGTTTTTAAGGAAATAACACCTTGTAACATTCTAACATGGCTTAAAGTTCACAAAAGTCAATTTTGTGTATTATATGACCTTTAAACCAACATTCTGTGATTGAAATAATATTATCAGTTTAAAGGTAGTATTACACAGACCAACACAAACCGAGGTCTAGCCCAACCACAACATGCTCTCATATTCCCATATCACAACCGGCTGTGCATCTTTAAAAGCAATAGAAGAATGCACGTTGTGATGATGTTATGGTGCAGAGCTGGAGGTCTGGAGTGCTGAAAGAGCGCCGCTCTGGGGAAAGAGCGATGTTTTTGGATGGAGCTAGAGAGATGAGGAGGAGGAAAACTGGAGAGGAAATTGAAAGAGAGCAGGGAGGTTAATCAGCCTGACTTGTTAGCTGTCTGTCACCTCAGCATGTGCTTTAGTCGATAACATGGGCACACTGACAACATCCACCACACATGTGTTGCAGCTGTAGACAGTATGAGTTTTCTAAGTTGTTATGCAATAATAATAATAATACAAATTTACAATCCATATCTTTTTAATATAGTCTTATTTTATGCACATCGTGCCCTGTTGCGAAAAGTTCTGACTAAAATGCTCTCTGACAATATTATAGGATTTACAGTATAACATTACATACATATTAACTTTAGGTATTTTATATGATTAAAATGTACTACTATTACTAATACTTATACTAATACTACTTATACTAAGAAATAGAAAATAGAGTCTATACTCAATACTGATTCCAATGATTCAGCTTACTTACATAGTACTTTTTTATGTTACCTTTTGGTCTTATATCTTTGTAATCCTTCAGATGTCCATGGGTGTATACTACTATGTGGTCTTATATTGTTCTGATACAGCTAAACATCATTTTAACACTATAAATGTTCATTTTTGTCTGGTTAATGTGACTTCTTTAGTATCAGTACTTGTTCAAATGACTACTAATCTACTTTTGATACTATTTTTACTGGTTATTGGGTGTCTGATTTTTGATACTTTAACATCCCTCGTACTAAGGAACCTTTTTGGTTGGGGGTCTGCCACACTGCTTGTCTCCATCTGGATGTGTAAACTTATTGATCACCATTTATAAATATTTTTTTTTCTTATTCAGTATATTTTAAGAATATATCTGCATAACATGGTTTGTTGTCCCCTTCTTGGTGTTCATGATGTAATCTTTTTTTCACTTTTTTTTTTTACATAGTTTCCTAGCTACTGGTGGTATTTTGGTCTGCATTTCCATAATTTGTAAGCCCCTGTTTTGGTCTTGAAATTGTGCACTGTTGCTTAAAAGAGGGTATTAGCGGGGTGTCTCGCCGCACTTTAACAGCTTAGTGGGCTCGAGCAGGTGAGACAGCGGGGATTTCCTGTCCGGCCTCCTCGCTACATTCTTGCTAAATTGTTCTTTGCTGTGTGAAGTTGGGGGTCTTTTTCTCTTGTATGCTGCAGATGTGAAGGAACCCCACAGGGCACTATAAAGATGTGCCTAGACCAATACAGACTGCATTCTAAGTGTCACTCCACTATGCCTGTTTTTGAATAATGGCTTGTGTTTTATGCAGAGGGGAGACTACAAAGACTGAGCTCAGTATTAGACTTTGGTTCACTGCCAGACCCGCAATATGAGATAAATACTTCACCATCTTACACCTGGGGGTCCTGGCCTGCTTTTAATGGACGCACTTGAGAGGACCTCTGTGTGTCTGCAGCCTGCCCAGTGCACTCTCACTTTACACATTGAGATGCACATTCATACTGACAGCAATGGTGGAAAAACTTGCTGTGTTACGGTAAAACAACCACAATTTTAGGTGTTTGTGTAATCTTGGTTAGGACAAATATCTACTTCTTCTTTCATGTTTTCTATTCCCGTTTGTGAATTTCCCTGCTTCCTTTTAAACAGTGATTTGCAATTTAATACATTTTATATTCTGTTTTTTTTTTTTTTTTTTTTTTTTAATGATCTTCCTTCCAGTTATTCACTACATTGTCAGGGCTTGGGACAGGTTCAAAGACAAAATGTGTTCAATTAGACACTTCTGCCCTACAAAGGCAGAATGCCATAGCATCATGTTTGGTCAAAGATTATTTCATGTCAATTTCTTTATTTTTGAGACCTCCTTTATCATGTGAATAAATATTGTGAAAAATATTGAGCTCAAGATTGCCCTTTGGTCCTTATTTGTCAGTTCCTTTAGTGAACAGTGCAAAGAGCAAAGGCAGTAACAGTGTGTGTTTTGTTTGTGATTTAGTTCATAAATATATTTTATTTTAAAATCCAACCTCTCACCTAATTCATTTTGTTGCTGCCTTGGCACAGGGTCGCAAGCGGCTTGGCTTTGACAGCCATACCAGCTTGTCAAAGCCTAATCTCGTCAGATCTCAGAAGCTCAGCAAGGCTGGGTCTTGTTAGTACTTGGATGGGAGACCACTGGGAAAATCAGGTGCCACAGTGGGGTACCAGTTGCAAAAACTGCCATTGTGCCCTTAGGCACGGCACTTCACGCACATTGCTTAGTATGAAAGTGGAGTGTGTGCGAGAGTGATGGTGGTCAGAAGGGCAGATGGCGCAGATTGGCAGCCTTGCTTCCGTCAGTCTGCCCCAGGGCAGCTGTGGCTATAATCATATCTTATCTGTGGATTGAATAAATAATGCTCTGTAAAGCATCTTTGTGACATTTGTCTGTGAAAAGTGCCATGTAAATAAAAACTTCCTTCCTTACTTGCTTACTTGACATATTAAATACATATGACTTTGTATTCAATTATACTTAAATTACCTTTAATGTGAAAGTATTTTGTGTATTTATTCATACTGTACATACTATACTGCAAAGTAACTTGTCTGTCAAACTGTTTAACAGTGTCATGTTGCCACGTGATCCTCATCAAAACAGACATTTTGAAGTAATTTTTCACACTCTGGCGAGTTAAGGTCTTTTGCCTTTGTGGGGCAGAGTTGTAAAGTTTTAAATTGTGGATTTTTTCCCCGTCCCTGGGTTTCAGAGTGCAGTTAGCGTGGACCTATTTGCTAAATGTGGATAAAAGTATTGCGCATTGATTTCTCTAGTTCACTCCGGTTCACTCACTTCACCATGGCAACACGAATTCAAAATCTACAGTAAGTGTTGAAGGTGTTGAGAAAGCACAGAGCCTCACAGCGAGTGGGATGGTGTGGGAGTATGAGTGTGCATGATTCAGATGAAGACATATCTTTTTAAGGCGGACTTTTGATAGAGGTTTGCCTTAATTGATCTCCATATTGCTAAATACACCCCTCCCTTGTCACTTTCAATCACTGTACTGTACTAAATTTAAAGGGCCCATATCTCTACTTTCTGATCTATGCTATAATGTTGTTTCCTCATCACAAACAGACCTGGAGTTGTGTTTTGTTTCATTCACACATGTTTAACATAAAAACCCTACATATTTAGGCTGAATTATTTTCTCAAACAGAAAACACTCTGTTCCATCTTGTGATGTCATGTGGTAATACAGTAAGTGCTCCACTGTGTTTTTAAACTCCATACACCTTCCCTAGAATAATAACAATAGGGATGAGATATGGATTATTTTAGCCGTGGAATTGCCATGATCTTCTGAACAAAAGGTAAATGATTGCCATTAATTTGAAAACTACCACTATGTGACATCACAAGGTGGAACAGAGCATTTTGAGCTTTGAGATGTAGACAGACTAATAATAAAGGGTTACTCAAATCTGTGTGAATGAAACAAAACACAACTCTAGGCATGTTATTGGGTAAGTAACATTATAGCATGGCTTTAAGCTCACAAGAGTCCATTTTGTGTAATGTAGGACCTTTAGTGTTGTAATCAAGATCGCACTAATTGAGACCAAGACTAGTCTGAGACCACAGAGTCCCGAGACCAGGAGATAACCAAGACCTCTGAGAATAGAGACCGAGACAAGACCAAGACTTTTAAAGGTCGTGACTGAGACAAGACCGAGACCACGGCCCATTGAGACCAAATCAAGACCAGCTTCAACATTTCCTACATGTTTTTGTATTTAACAGTTACTTTGATATGGTTAATATGCATTTAGGCTTAAAATAAGCCAAGCAAACTGTACTGCTCTTAAACACTCTGTGCCCCTTTTTTGGACCCTGACCCACAATTTGAGAACCCCTTTAATCTGACTTCCACAGGGACTTTATAGAAAATGACTTGAAAGTTAATTAAGTGTTTTTTTTTTTTCAAGTTCATAACATTTACAGTTACATTATCTTGCTCGTTTTGCAGGGATATTTAGCAGTCTTTGCATATTTACCGGACGTTATGAAATATGATCGCATTCAACGAGTGTCATACCACGAGTCCGAGACAAAACCGAGACCAAGCACCTTCAAGACCAAGACAAGAATGAGTCCGAATGTGCTTGAGTCCGAGATGAGACCAAGACTACAAAAAAGCAGTCTTATTGCCGTTCTTGAGACCAAGACCGGTCTCAAGTACTATGACACTGGGGAGGGTGGTTAGCTAAATGATTTTGTTTTGTTATAGGTTGATGCTCTGCGGGTGCGTCTGGAGGAGAAAGAGCAGTTTCTGACCAAAAAGACAAAACAGTTGCAGGATCTGTCTGATGAGAAGAGCACGCTGACCGGAGAGATACGGGACCTAAAGGACATGCTGGAGGTCAAGGAGAGGAAGGTCAATGTCCTGCAAAAGAAGGTATAAGAACACAGCCTGGGACCATTCAGCAGTTTGAATTTCACATCATTACACTGTCTCCACAACAAAACAAAGCCCAGTAAAGCCACAGGATTATGGCAGTGGGCTGAGAGTAATTTTCCCGTATAAAAAACATCTGACATTTGTTGTAAATTATTGGCTAACGAGCTCGATGACAAATAATAGTGTTCACAGCAGTGACATTTTGTGCGCACCTGCTTTCACACACGTGATATAAGGTCAGAATTTCAAAAGGTCAATAGGCCACCTGTATTTATGCTCTCTCTATGGAACAATAGCATGCACATGAAGTTCCCATTTCAACTTCCCCTTTTTCTTTCATATCCTCTAATGTCCTCAAAGTAGATCACTATCACCTCCCTTGCTTTCCCTTTCAATCACTGAAATGATTAGAGTATAATATGCAGTGCCAGCATTGGAGCACCGCCGTGGCACAGGTCTGCTGCTTCTAATGTCAGACAATTATTAGTGACAAGAAAAGTGGAAATTAAAGTACAATGTAGTTGCTCATTCTTGCAAAACAGTTTTTATATCTAATGTCTTTTACAATTTAGGAGATAAGAATAAGCACTAGCTTTACTAGCTCTTTGTGTCACCTCAGCTGCATACTCTGCCTATGACTATGTTTGAATGCATTGTCCCTGTCAAATACATAAATAAATAAAATAGTGACAGCATAGTTTGTTTTCTACAGGGAACACAACAAATTTCCCCCATGTCCCTCCTGTATATAGATATAATTTATAGTCTTAAAAGCATCTGGGAAACTGAATACGCTGAATACAAATTACACCGAGACATTGAGTGTACAAAGTGAAATGACAGTATATAAAGATCTGCGACAGCTGTAATTTGTAAATAAAAATGATAAATGACCAGCCAAGCTTAAACTATAAAACAGACAGCACAGCATTTCACATTTAGAAACAAAAACTAGTTTAAGAGCGAGTTTTGGACTACCTAACATTAGCTTTCATTACAAATTCTGGAAAGTCTTCTGTTTTCTTAGTAATTTCTGACCATTGTAAATTACTACATGGCACATGATCCGAAATAGCTTTTAACAGGTAAAGCTGGTTTAACTAAAATAATGAGCAAATGAAAAAAAGAAGCAGCTCAGTAGCTGTGGGCATTTTTAGCTCTTACGTATGATAACATAGAACAGTGGAGCTCTGTTGCAGCCCTCTTTCGACAAAACCATGACCAATGCATAATGATGTATTTATTTATTTGTTTCTCTTTGCCTGGTTTGAAGTGCTGTGGCTGTGGGAGGAACACATGCTGAGCTGGGCGCTCTGTGGTTTTGGCGTACATGTGTTATTCATGTTCAAACATTGTGGTCATCTTGATACATATTCATGCTTTTTAAAGGTCGGTCTGTGTCCGTGGAAGTATAGCTTACACTCTCACGTTTCTCCCCTATAGTCCGCACATACAGACACTTGAGTCTCTGTAAAGAGTGATGTCTTGTGCATAACAGTTTATTTCTAATGGTGTCTAACAGCAGTGTCTTGGGGGACCTGCACCAGGCTGCCTGCGTGCCTGCCCTGTCAGCACTCACCCGGCCTGGTTTCATCGCTGGCTCGGGCCTAATATCATCAGCACAGCTCGGGCTTCTTCTGTGTTGAAAAGCTGAATAGGAGCGAATGAGAGAGCCACAGGAGAAGAGAATAGTCTGATTAAATGTTTCCTGCCTTATGCTTCCTCTTGCAAACTGTCAATATTTTATCATTATCAGTTTCTACTTCTAACTCCTGCCTCGCCTGGCCGAGTAAACCAAAGTGTATTGAGTGTCTCTTGCTGGATATTAGTGTAAAAAATGACTGCACTTAAGAGCAGGATTACGGTGAGAGTCGTCTCCCAAAACACTCTGGGTTCTCATTTCGCTCCCTCCTCCCACATGTGCACACTTCCCCAACACAATACTGGCCCTGTTGAGTGTGATGCATATGGATAGCAAGGGGAAGTGGTACCCTCTTGATAGAAAGCTAAATATTGGTGTAGTGTTTGTTGTGAGATTTATGTTGGAGAGCACGCACTGTGTGGGTAAACAAATAGGGACTTTCTCTGGGTTTATGTGGAAGGACTCCAGATGTGATGGGTCATATATTTCTTCACTTTTAAACTGCTGCTAAAATGACTTATGTGAGGAATGTGTCTGTTTTTGGTAGTAATCTAAACACTATAGGAAATGGCTTACATATTATGCAATCATTTGGACAAGCATTCACTGTCACACTCACTGCTGGAAAATTTGAGTTACCAACTTACCTACCATAGTATCTGGGAAAGACAACTCACAGTGCTGAAATACATCTAATTAATTTCATTTAATCCACTTGTGATTGATAACAACTCTGCCACCATCCACACTACTTTGTGTATCATGTATTTCTATTGTTTGATTTATGAAACTGATATTCTGAGAGGTTGTTGGCTTAATCTTCATGGCAACCCGCAAGAGTTTCTAAGAATTTTAGAAGCAAAAATAAATCATTTCAATATCTATCTATGCTCCAAATAAGTAAACCTGAAAGTGAACTAAGCAGCAGCATTCCTTCAAAAAGGTTGATTTTATGTCACTTTCTAGATCTAGTGACAGAGGTGGGACTAAATCTTTGTTTTTCAAGTCTCAAGTCTTTGACCTGAAGTCCGAGTCAAGTCCCAAGTCAAATATAGGCAAGTCCAAGTCGAGTCTCAATCACTGTCCCGTAAGTCCAAGTCAAATCCAAGTCATCTGCTTTGAGCTTCAAGTCATTGCAATTTTGCAATTTATATGACTTTTAAGATAAATTGAATTTAAAAAATCTATATATGAATATTTATAGAGTATATAAGAGTTGCAAAAATTAATTTAGTACATTTTTCCTTTTTAAATGTCTTGCCAAGATCTTATTGTGAATCATTCTGGTCAGAATAGAAAGAATTCAGACTTAAAAGTGCTTCTCAAGTCTTCTCAAGTCACAGGCCTCAAGTCCAAGTCAAGTCCCAAGTCACTGACCTTCAAGTCCAAGTTGAGTCCTAAGTCTTTGTCCATTTTATCAAGTCAAGTCTCAAGTCCTAAAAATAGTGACTCAAGCCTGACTCGAATCCAAGTCACGACTCGCAAGTCCCCATCTCTGTCAAGTGACAATCTAATATGCAAAATATGGATTCTCATCATGTTTTGTTTTGTAAAAATGGTCCAATTTATTTTGTTACAACTCAAAGATCAGAGTCAGACAGCTCGATTCCGTAAACCAAATAAGAGAATTAATCAATCTGATATAGAAGTGTGCTGTCTCCACCAGGTCTTAAACACATGTGTGGGACTGTGCTCTTTCTTAGATGGTAACACGGTGCACATTCCCAACAGTTTGTGTGATCTTTGATAGATGTGTGATGAGGCCACCAATGGCTTTCATCCTAATAGGTTCCATCTGACCAATCAGAGTGCAGAGACAGGCCTCCAGATAAGACCGTCAGAACATGGGGGATTCCTGTAAACGGCCGTGCGCCTGTGACTGTGGCCCCCTCAGCTGCTATCAGCAATCAGCGCTAGGCTAATGGTACAAGCCTGAGGGCCACTGATTGGAGCCAGGCAAAAAATCACTCAAGACAAAACGCTCTGTTCCTCCAGCTTGACCACAGGTTGTACTACATGTATAAGCAACTCAGCGGAGATGTTGATGACAAGCTATAAGTCACGGACAACTTTTTTTTAAACCTAATCCTGTACATCACTTCTGCAGCGCCCTCCCTAAATCTCAAACTAACTGTATTTCCAGCTCGCTTTCTGTACATCAAAGCATTACCATTCCTCCTCCCCGAGCGAGAGAAAAATATTCACAGTGTTAGTGAAATAAAGTGCAATTATCCAGCTTTGATTACCGCATTCCATAGCCGAGGCAGACAGAGATAGGGGTCTGGAGACAAAAAGAGAATGGACAAGTCAACCAGCCATGCAAGTGTGCTCAAGTGAGTCTAAAAAAACTGTCTTTCACTCTGCTTAAGCGTTTATTCCATTCATTAATTTCTGTGCAGACGTGATGGCAGTTTGTTATTGTTTAATTAGTATGTATGAATGCAGAGGAGAGCCATGGTATGAATGAATATGTTGAAAAATGTGGAGAAAGGGAGGAGGGAGGGAGGATGTCTGCTCGTCATGTGCACACAGGCCTAACGTAGAATAACATTATGATAACAATCACAACTTAAATACATATATGTGCTCAGTCTCTCAACAAGAATATTATCAGGAAATGTCCGTACCATGACTGTATACTGTTATCTCATACTTTCATGTCTGAGCAGCATTTATGGGCAAATATTTCTACTTGGAGCCTATGTGTGTGGTTTCGCAAATTTCTTTTTTTGTCAGCTTGTTGCCATGGATATGTTATTGCTTTCCCTGGAATGTTGCACAGTATGGCTTTAAACTTGATTGTCTTGCTTATCTTATCTCATTTAAGTGTTTCTATTGTATAAAAATACCTCAAAAACATGCATTCTCAGATCTGACCAGTATTTTGTATTATATTGAAATGTTAAGTAAAACAACAAAGTAATCAAGAGTAAAACAACATAAACCCCCAAAAAAACTGTCTCCAGAGCACAGAAATTTTAACACTGGTTTACAGAAGAAAAGTAAGATTTTAACTTTATATGTAAACTATCTTAACTTCTCTATCTTAAGTGTTTTTATTGGATCACAAATACCTCAAAAACATGCACCCTCAAATCTGATCATTATTTTGTAATATATTTAAGAAAATTAAGTAAAACTGCATAAAATAAACCCAAAAAAACTGTTTTCAGAGCAAAGAAATATTACCATTTTACCCTTATAATGCATAGGTTTTGTGTATCCATAATGACTTATTATGCACCTACAGTATGCACATTTGTGTTTGTTTTTTATCATGATGAATACCTGGTGCTTTTTTTTGTTTTTACCGACTTTGTTATAGGAGCAGAATAAATGTTTGGGAGTCACAGAC